TTAACTCAATGTATTTCTGCAGGACCTGCGAAGCTACAAAAATAATGGTTAAAACACAAGTAAATGAAAATAAAAAGCTGTTACGCACGAAACTAAAGTATCAAAAAGATGTTTTGGATTCTACTCGTGGAATTAAAGAAGAATGCGTCTTCAATTCTGTAATTGGTCATATATGTGACGTACCAACCGTGGATCCAATCCACGATATAAATGAAGGAATTGCTCGATATGAAATCGGACAAATTCTACACCATTTTATTCTTGTGGAGAAATTTTTTCTGTGAAAGAGTTAAATAATCGATTATCGCGCGTGAACGTCGGTCTCCAACCAGGAACCAACCTCCCTCCCCCCTTCACTAGGAAACAAATGAAAGATAAATTAATCAAAATTACAGTATCAGAGATGGCCTTTATAATATTACATTTAGGTGTGCTTGTGGGGGACTTAGTACCTGTGGGTCACGAAGTATGAAAATTGTATAAAATGTTGAGACAAATTTATTGTTCAGTGATGGCTCCCAGTTTCACAGAAAAATCATCTAGGTCTTTGAAAAATCTCATCGCTAGACACCATAAACTCTATAAACAATTATTTGGAAACTTAAAACCCAAACACCATTTTTTATTGCATTACATTTTAGCTATGAAGAAGTTAGGTCCGCTCCGTTATGTCACAACAATCCGGTATGAAGGAAAGCATAAACAGTTCAAACATGCTGCTCATACTGTGACCTCTCGTCTGAATCCAGCTCACACACTTGCACAAAAACATCAGCTGCAATTAGCCTATCGACTCTATCTCAATAAACCGATGGAAAACCTACGAACATTCGGTAAACAATACGATTACCGCTTGTCACTCCTTGATAACGTCGATTTTTTTAGAAATGCTCTACCTGAGGACATAAGTGATGAGATTCAGTTGCTATCGTGGGTTAAATACAATGGTATCATGTACAGAGAAGATGGAGTAGTGTGCATAAAATAAAATAATTCCCTCCCATCTTTCGGAACGATTAAACATATCTTCATGTCCAATGACAAAATTTATTTTGTACTTCGTGGGTTAAAAACTGTGAAAATGATAGAACACATTCAAGCATATGAAGTGAATTCAACAGATGATTGGCACGTATAGACGAATACAGATTTGATTAGTCACTCTACTTATGATATTTTCTTTTTATCGTGTGGAACATCTGTTGTCTCCCTTCATTGATAATCTGAAATTTATTCCAGAACTGAAATGTTTATTGATAAATACTCCCACAAAATGATATGATAAGTGAAATGAGAAACAAACATTTAGGAACATTAAGTAGGAGAAAGAACTCAATGATGCTCCTCTTATGACAATCTGTCCTGTCGTAATTATTATTATTATTAGATTAAGAGTTACCGATGCATTCAAAAAATTTATGACTTCATATAATGTAATACAAAAGTATTTCCTGAATAAAATGAATAAAAAACCTATTCCATTGTATTGAATTTTCATTTATCAGGAATCAATAGAAGATAAATTGACACATTAGTGCAATACCTACAGGTAAGTAGTCTATTGGAATAATCGAATATATTGTTAGCTTCAATGGAGTAGATTTTAGAACGGAATATGCAGAGGGATTAAAAACTATAGGGGACTATCTAGATTCAGAAGTGCAGCACTATGCTAGTAATGCACTGATGATTTTCGGCGAAAGCAAAAAGTTCTTGAATTATTGGTCTGACTGTTTAAATTGAATCGAGATTGATTCGATGGAGAAAGAAAAACTTTTCAGATGATTGTATTGCAGCTTGAGCTTCTCATAATTAATTTCAATCAAAGAATTCCCATTCCAACATTGAAATATCGAAATAATAAGAGCAATCGATTTCGAGTTGAAATCGAATATATTATGGATTGCGCGTAGTTTGCTCAAGTTCGATTAAATTAGGGTTTCGATCAATTGTTATAGAATCACGATGAAACCAAGTCTAGATCGGATTTGATCAAGGGCACGTAGCTTCGCTTGCATTTTTCATTGTTTTATAAGAGAAATATCAGAGAATTGTTCCAATCTTTTATATTTTTCAATATAATTGAGAATTTTTCATCACCACCCAATGAGCCATTAGTTTTAACTACTTTTCTATTGAGAATTAATATTTCCAGCGATAGATGGCATTCGAAATCACATTGATGCTAAAATCTTTTCGATAGCGACACAGATTTCTTCAATCATTCTACAGGAGCGATAGCTTCCTGCAAGAACACTGGCGATCTACACTATGATTCAACTACTCTGATGAAATGAATATAGTTTCGTCCGCATTAAAAAATTGCTCACAATGAAGAAAAAAATTTATAAGTCGATTTCACTTAATTTCAACTGAAAATACCGTAATCAAATCGATGTCTTGGTGTTGCAATTCATTTTTTTTGGGACTATTCAAACCGATCAATTATTTCGATCAATCGTATATTTTCTATTTCTCAGAAATTTTTTCTCTCAGTGTAGGAAAGATGACTATGGGAACTGGGCCATAGCAATTCGTTTATAGGGAATCTGTTCATGGGAATTTGATTGTTTATAGAAATTGTTCCATGAATAACCATGGGATTTCTATCGGGGAGATGTCTATGGGAATTGAGCCATATGAAGTCTTTTATAGGGATTCGAATTTTTTATAGAAACTTTTCTATGAATAACCGTGGGTTTCCTATAGGAACGATGACTATGGGAAGTGGGCTATATGAATTCGTGTATAGGGATTTGCAATTTTCATAGAAACTATATTCTATAAATGACCATGGGATTTCTATGAGGGAGATGTCTATGGGAATTGGGCCATAGGAATTCGTTTATGGAGAATTTGATTGTTTATAGAAATTGTTCTATAAATGACCAAGGGATTTCTATCGGGGAGATGTCTATGGGAATCGAGCCATAGGAATTCGTTTATGGGGAATTTGATTGGTTATAGAGATTGTTCTATGAATAACCATGGGATTGCTATTGGGGAGATGTCTATGGGAATTGGGCCATAGGAATTCGTTTATGGAGAATTTGATTGTTTATAGAAATTGTTCTATCATTGACCATGGGATTTCTATCGGGGAGATGTCTATGGGAATCGGGCCATAGGAATTCCTTTATGGGGAATTTGATTGGTTATAGAGATTGTTCTATGAATAACCATGGGATTGCTATTGGGGAGATGTCTATGGGAATTGGGCCATAGGAATTCGTTTATGGAGAATTTGATTGTTTATAGAAATTGTTCTATCATTGACCATGGGATTTCTATCGGGGAGATGTCTATGGGAATCGGGCCATAGGAATTCGTTTATGGAGAATTTGATTGTTTATAGAAATTGTTCTATCATTGACCATGGGATTTCTATCGGGGAGATGTCTATGGGAATCGGGCCATAGGAATTCGTTTATGGGGATTCGAGTTTTTTAAAGAAACTTTTCTATGAATAACTGTAGGATTTCTATAGGAAAGATGACTATGGGAAGTGGGCTATATGAATTCCTATGGCCCGATTCCCATAGACATCTCCCCGATAGAAATCCCATGGTCAATTATAGAACAATTTCTATAAACAATCAAATTCCCCATAAACGAATTCCTATGGCCCAATTCGGATAGACATCTCCCCGATAGAAATCCCATGGTCAATTATAGAACAATTTCTATAAACAATCAAATTCCCCATAAACGAATTCCTATGGCCCAATTCGGATAGACATCTCCCCGATAGAAATCCCATGGTCAATTATAGAACAATTTCTATAAACAATCAAATTCCCCATAAACGAATTCCTATGGCCCAATTCGGATAGACATCTCCCCGATAGAAATCCCATGGTCAATTATAGAACAATTTCTATAAACAATCAAATTCCCCATAAACGAATTCCTATGGCCCAATTCGGATAGACATCTCCCCGATAGAAATCCCATGGTCATTTATAGAACAATTGCTATAAACAATCAAATTCCCCATAAACGAATTCCTATGGCCCAATTCGGATAGACATCTCCCCGATAGAAATCCCATGGTCATTTATAGAACAATTGCTATAAACAATCAAATTCCCCATAAACGAATTCCTATGGCCCAATTCGGATAGACATCTCCCCGATAGAAATCCCATGGTCATTTATAGAACAATTGCTATAAACAATCAAATTCCCCATAAACGAATTCCTATGGCCCAATTCGGATAGACATCTCCCCGATAGAAATCCCATGGTCATTTATAGAACAATTGCTATAAACAATCAAATTCCCCATAAACGAATTCCTATGGCCCACTTCCCATAGACATCTCCCCAATAGAAATCCCATGGTCATTTATAGAATATAGTTTCTATGAAAATTGCAAATGCTTATACACGAATTCATATAGCCCACTTCCCATAGTCATCTTTCCTATAGGAAACCCACGGTTATCCATAGAAAAGTTTCTATAAAAAATTCGAATCCCTATAAAAGACTTCAAATGGCTCAATTCCCATAGACATCTCCCCGATAGAAATCCCATGGTTATTCATGGAACAATTTCTATAAACAATCAAATTCCCATGAACAGATTCCCTATAAACGAATTGCTATGGCCCAGTTCCCATAGTCATCTTTCCTATAGATATTCCATGGTTATTTAAACAATGTTCTCCCTGAATAAAAAATCCTATAAGTTATCCTACAAAAAATCCTCTATAGATCTTTCATCTATAGGAAATCTTAATTCCCGCAGACTTGGGAACGAAATCCTATAGAAAGTGTTTCAATTCTCCATAGAATTGTTCTATAGGCAAACCTATAGGAAATCCTATAGGAAATCCTGTAGGATAAGCCTATTGAATTTTTTCATACGTGACTCTAAAGACATTGCCGAATGCTTGACCACAGATGATTATCAGTACATTTGTAAACTAAAGTACCTATTCTATGATGCTACTCAAAGAGTATTGAGTAAAGTAGAGGCTCAGATCTCGANATCGACATGCCATAAGAAGTTTGGCCCAGGGACTTTATACTTCCTTCTTGTCAATCTATGGCGTTGTCTATTTTCGATTCCTTCAGGATCTAATAAGTGTAAAATTTCATAAACCGTCTCTCTACGAACTTTCAGCCCATAAGTTTGCGACAACCTCCGCCACATCGATTTATAACCGAGGCATGATCCACTTGCACCTAATTCATCAATCATCGCACTGCATATACACTCTAACGAGTCCTCGGTGATATTTTTCCTTTTTAACCGCATTTTCTTCAATATTCTACACAATTGTCTTAATGATATTGCAATATCGTGATACTTGGATAATAAACTAGTTATTTCTGGATACGTATAGCCTTCTTCGAAATAATTTTGTATGTGTTGTTCTCTCGACATATTTTAATCCCTCCTGTATATTGATGTTCGAATTTCGATAGTTTTTATCGTAAGACATGAAGAGAGGATGGGTATCCACAATACACTCACTGGTTGCTATCGAAAATTTTTATTGATTTCTATTGATTTTTTTTTCCGGAATAAAAGTAGGAGCTTCAATTCGTTATTTTTCTTCATGACGAATGACCTGGAAAAAAAATTTCAACACCTTATTTAATTATGTATATAATTAAATAATTTGGACTGAAATGTTACGAGATATTTCTCCGTAATGGCACTCATTAAGGATAAAATTTCATAATTACAACCAATCAACTTATGTCGTCCCCTTGATAAATCAATCAACTCACTTCGTAATGAGTAAATTTCAATGCAAAGTTTGAGAAATATTTCATGTCGGGATTTTCCTTCCCTGAAAAAAAAAATCTTTGACATTCAACCTCATGGAGTTGACTCAACGATGGAAAGAACGATCAAGTTATCTGCGTACGTTTCACCACTCTGAATACGAATGAATAAATCATAAAATAGTTGAATGATCAACGTACTTTCTCCTTGAACAATTCTGCCGTTATTCATGAGTTATAATTGTCAAAAGCGTTTCGAAAAATTATGAAGAACAAATTTAATCATCCATTTATTCTAGGAAGGGAAGATTCTTCACTAACAGATGAGGAAGAATTTTGTATTTTTAATTTTGGGTCAATTTTAATCTGTGGCCCAGGGCTTCAAATACTCCAGAAAATTATCTCAGAAAAAATAATGATTTGATCAATGGATATTTTCTGTGGAAAGTTCAATTTCCCCAAAAATTTCTAACATTTAATGATAAAAAATTTGCGAAATGAGGAAAAGCAAAAAAAAGAAAGAATCTTTGATATATCTTGAAACACCATTAGGTGTATCGAATAAAAGAGTTGAATTTCTGACATTCACCGGCCGACCCCTAACAATTATCTAATCATGTAATTAAGCTGTATGAACTATTGAAACTCCATAGAAGTTTTGACGCTTGAATGAGAATTAATAAATAAAAAGAACAAATTAATTTATTGCTAATAATATTATAAATAATTACTACGTGCCGAAGAAGGAACTTGCTAATGGTCCTTTTCTCTACGCTGAATTGCCACAAATATTGTATCCATGTTTCTTTAAAGCTATTTTTTTCGTTCTTTTATTTCGATGTTTCTTGAGGGTAGAAACAGTCTGTAGCCCCTCAACACCCCTTGCCTGTGAGGCTTTAATTGTTTTAATTATATTCCAATTAGCGAACAAAGCAACATACACAACAAGAAAAGTCGTTTCGAAGAAACGTGCACGTAATACTCGTCTCAATTCTGAGCAAAAAGAGCACCATAACCGAAAATAATTCACAGAAATTTTAACGAAAAAATAGACGACAAACTGTAGTTAAATAATTCATGTAAGGAGAGAAATTGAATTGAGAATAACATAATTTCAAAAGGAGAATAAGCAATCACTGATATTTGATTTACCCGGAGGATAATGGAGAATGAATCACCACGATTCGTTTTTTTTTATTAATATCTATTGACATATTTCATCACTTTTTATTTTAATGATATTTAGCCAATGATTCTGAAGAGTTAAATGTTCAATCTTCTCAATAATCAGTTGCTTCACTCCAAGACGTTATAAGTCTTTTTTGGGAGGTAATTCTTTTAGTTACACAAGAATGTTCAACATTTTTTATCGTGCAACCAGTTATTATGGACATCATTTCAAAATTTACGAAAAACAATGAAGAATTGTGGTTCACGGATTATCACGATGAGGGTTTGGTATAAGAGGAAATGTCACAAGACATGTTGTGTAGAAAACTTGTTTCTCTAACAAAAAAGTATCGAGGCATTTACTCGTAAATCCACTCCTTCATGAAATAATCCTGGATTGAACAAAAGGTATTTCTTAATGCTCTCTTTTCTACAGAACAATTATCTTTAAAATGGAAAAAAGGATCTAAATAGCGAACGACGTACTAAAACATTTTTTTTCATGAGCAAAGAACTACAAATATACCTACTTCACATGAATTATTCCAAATGAATGAAGAAAATTGAACACTCCTCACATTTGTCAATTATTTTACGTCTATTTGTATCCGGATTTATCCAGTGAATGTTCTATTTATTGATTCATCATTTTGTTCAGTTGTTTTTTGGAGTATAAATTAGAGGTAGTGGAATACCAGGGATTCCAATCGAGTCTGCACTACTGCCTCTTTGCGTTAAGTCTCCTGGTGGAGCTGGGTAAAAACCTCGTTGTTAGGGAGCTGGACGTATTGGACTACAGAACCATGGATAGAAACAGCTCTTCACAGATGATTGAACCTTTTAGAATAAATTTTCAATGATTATTCATTGTCCTTGAGGGTGGGGTGTATTGAGTTTCGGGGGAATAGGTCAGAAAATACATGCAGTAAAGAGTTTCATGAGCAAAAGAGAGCCTTTTGACTTTTGCTATAGAATTTTCTGGAAGAATTCTTCATTTACTTATATATGTGACAAGTCCAGGAAGACGACAACAAATTTGTAAAATGTTCAAAGAATGAAAAATTCCAAAAATCATTTATTTATTCAACTCACCCTTCGTGATTGTTTATCAGAATCCGTGGCACTGCTATCAGTCAATTCAATGTTGAAAAATTTATCCACCAAGGACAGAATACCATAAATTCTGTGAAGATAATCAAAAATAAAATGTCAGTACGTTCGATCATCAGTCAATCTAAATAGAGGAATAGCGAATTTAAACAATTGATTAATTAATAGCTCAAAATTAATAATTCATGTACTTTATTTATATTTCTTACTTACGCATTTCCACTAACGCTTTCTTTTACCTTTGCCTGTAGTATATGCTCATTGGTTTTATCATGAGAAACTCAATGTGCTCTGATAAAAACAGTATGTAACTGCAAATGTTTGTGGATTTTAGAATTTGTGTTCCACTTTCAAAGGTGAATTTACTTTTATAATCGACAAAAATGAATGTGTTGACAATAAAGTTCTTTGTCCACTGAATCCCCCCTGTTATGTTAATTCATTTTTGTTGCACAAAGTTCCAGATTTAGTCCAATGTTAGCTCCAATTGGACAAGTATTTAAGGTTAGATGTCAGTTGGTGACTTTAATATTTCGCGGTCGACGAACTACGTTAGTCACCCAAAACTGTTTGCGAGTGGAGACGCATGACCTCCATACTCCCTCCACTCGATGGCATGACCGGGCTTCCGTAGACAGCGGGACTGCTACTGCCGAGTTACTCGCACAGGCAGAGGTCGCCCAGCCGTCAGATTCGACCGTGGCGGCATCCCGCCGTTGGGGTCGAACTACTTTTGGCTTGGTGTCAGTCCAACCCTGAGATCTGAGCCTCTACTTTAGTCAATCCTCTTTGGTGCTATGTACGCTTGTTAGTAAGCCAAACAATAATCAATGAATTATTAATATCAAAGTTAATTCGAACATTTCTAACGTGTTTTACTGATAATCATGGACGATCTGCAGAATTATAAATTGCAGCTTCAACAAGTGAGCCTTCTCTATTCGTTGAATCTCATGCATAACCTTGACTATTAGCCTCTCATTGTCGAATATCCATACAAATAACGGGATATTTTTGGGTTTTGGTTCATTCCTATTGTTTCTTTTTTGAAGGTTGAAGCTGCGTTGACGACTGATCCCACTAATGAGGAATTGTTAAAACTGAAAATTGATCTTGAGGAGGTTATTGAGCTGACACAAGACCTCATAAAGTCACAGCAACAGGAGAAGAGGCAGAGCAATGGCATGGACGCCAAGGATCCCATTCTCTTGGCTGTTTTGGCGAATAAGTGGAAAGTTGGGGACTCGTGTATGGCACCTTGGAGTGAGGATGGGAAGTAAGTGGAGGATTACTTCTTTATGTTAATAATTATAATCGATATTTCACAATTTAACAAATCAATCGATTTTGCAAAATGATTTATTGAATTTTAGAATACTTGTTATGAGGATATGTATCTGCGAGCATAATAATGTTTTCATATTTAACCAGATAATGTAAAAATTCAATTTCACGAACTGATTACTCAATTTCAAAATATTCATGAATCATAGGAACAAGTGGTCTTCGAGGAAGATGTCAAAGACCTTTTTGATTGAGAAGGTAACTCTTCACAAACAGGTCTTGTGATAATTGGTCCTGATTCGAAAATTCACAGTAATAAGTCAGTATTTACGTTTTACAGAGTTCATTTTTTCTTTTCAATTTAATGTCTCATAATTTCCAACAGTGTCTTCTTATTTTTATTTTTAATTAAATTCACTATTCATTGAGGCAATGAATTATGTTTTTCATACCAATTAATTCTTTACATTTTCTATAATTTAATGATTATTTTGAAAATAAAAGAATTGAGATAAAAATGTTCAGCTACTTTTTTTTACAGAGGAGTAAATTTCCAAAAAAAGATTCTCTTGGCAATTTGCCGTAGTATCGCTCATTAGCGAGATAATTGGACAATAATCATGAATTTCATTCATATCGACTCGAATTTTTCTTCAACACTTCTACACTGAATTGATTAATCCTGTTCCCGTTCTTCATTCGTTCAGATATTACGAGGCCACGATAGATGCAATAAACGAGGATGGTCTTGTGAATATAACATTCAATGAGTTCAAAAACACAGACGTTACAATGCTAAACCAATTGAAATCAGTTGCAAAGAGGCCTGCGTCTGATTGGGCAGATCAAAAGTCCAAGTGAGTATTTCCATTACTTGAACAATTAAAATCATAATTATCATAAATGATAATATCATTGGAAAATATGTCCAGTACAGAAAATATTAAAATTCTGTTTCTCTAATTTGATTCATTTTCATGATTCCAATGAATTTATTTTGACGAATTTATCACAAGCTTTGATGATTTTATTAATCCTACGCTTTTTCTTTCTTCCCGTTGATTGAATTATGAAATAATCGACTTCTGAAATAACGGCGAATGCTTGTTGAACTACCACCATGAACCACTTGTCCTTCCAATAAATCAATGTTAAAACATTCCAATATTGTCCCACGCCGATAAAAAAATCGTGATCTGCAGGAGAAGGTAACAATAATTTTAATCATTTTATTTTGGATTTGTTTCGAGCACTTGCATACTCATTTTATTTTTGAATGGAGACAATTGGATAGTTGAATGTTGATCGTTTTCTCAAAAATCAAAATTTTTTTTCCATTTTAAAGGCAAATTCTATAATTATTTAAACGGATGAAGAATCGAGATTATTGATATCTGAATAGAATTAGTTGAAGTAGTTTTGTCGGAATGGGAAAAAAGAATTTTTTTCTTATACACGGGGTTTCACTACTGGAAGACTTTGAAAGTAAACAAAAATAGAGGCCAATGTGACAAAATATATTCAATCTAGTGACCAAGGAAAAATCTTAGGTACCCATGCTAGGCAAGCAATGCAGATATTTGAAACTTCGAGCGCCCATATATAACTTCATGCTAATGCCGACATTCAGTGCATATTGTCTATTTCATTTCAACATAAAGCATATAACTCTGTCGATCAGTTGAAAAAAAAATCAAATGTTTTTGAGTGTTTGTGATTTTGGGAAAACATTCTTGAAGGGTAGAAAATGGTTGAAGTTGAAATATCTCCTGTTGTTAATTATCGAACTGTTCAAGCATATGGTTTAGTTCACGAGAAAATGTCGAAAGACCTTTTATGTTAGAAAATTCCTTGGCTAAAAACAGGTCCAAATTCCTAAATTTTGTCATATACTTACATAATTCAATAATTAGTAATTTAGCAAATCCAGGGGAATTCAAATTTTTGTCAATTAGGTGATTATGTTGTTAATGAGAAATTTTTCTTCAATAATTCACTTATCAACAGAACTGTTCAAATTTTCCATTCAAAGATGATCATAACTTCAATTTCCATTATTAATCAACGAATGAATGCGTTGGAAACGAAGTTTGAAGTGAAAAGTATGTGTTTTTTCCCTCACCGAACTAAATATTCAAATATTTGTCATTTGTGATATCATGTTTGATTGATTTTCCTTTAAATACCGTCAATATCGAATTGGATTGGTTTCACAGGAAAATGCAGGTAGCAGCTGCAGTGGGGACGGATCCCACCAAACAGAGGGAGTACCTCAAGAAAAAGAAACAGAAAAAGTTACAGCGTTTCAAAGAACTCGAGGAGGAGCGCGAACAGGAGAAGAATAAGTGGCTAGCGTTTTCGACGAAGGTGATATTAATCTTCTATTATTGAAGGGGGCAAACGACCTCAAAATCCTAGTAATATTCCGTGAAAATTTCTGATTTTTTTTCATAATTCTTATTTGAATGTGACAAAATTTCATGTCACATGAGTCATACTATTAAAATTTTTTCTTCCATTTTATTTTTCCCCGTTATGAAGAAATGTGTTTTAAATTTTCGTACGTCTTTCGATCAGGATTGCGATAAAGAAACAAAGTTTAAAAATATTGACAATTGTTGGGGCAGAAAAACATTGTGCACGATTGCAGATACAAAAAAAGTTTTCAATGTCCAGGACTAAGGTACTGACTTTAAGAAGCACATGGTTCTACTGTCGCTGTCAAAAATAGAGACCACTCGAAATAAACGTCTATAACTCGACGAAAAAAAAATCGTAAAAATATGAGACCAATTGCGCTGTGTAATATAAGTATTTCACTCGCCCAATACGAAGTTTCAAGTTTTTAATTTGATTAGTTTATTTATAATCCACGTGAGAAGCCGAAAAACCCCCCGATTTTCAGGGTCCGTAAAAGTCGGCAAACTTTGAACCGCTACCATAGGTACGAAAATTTTTTTTAAAAAGTTGTCAATTTTTTGAGAGATTCGTTGAATCCTTGGGAAGCCAACGAGAGAAGAAAAAACTCAATATTGTAATAATTATTCATTTAATTAATAGAAATGTCGACTGCGGCTATCTCGTTGTAGAATTGCCGAACCGACCTAAAAAAAACGATGCATTCTGAATTCAGTGTAAAACACATTCCTGTCAATATTTTTCTTATAAACAATCTCCGTTGATTTAAAAAAAAATCGAGAGAATTCGTTAAAAAAAGTGCTGTTAAAACTGTGTTTTACATTGAATTCAGAATGCATCGTTTTTTTTTTTCTGGTCGGTTCGGCAATTCTACAACGAGATAGCCGCAGTCGACATTTCTATTAATGAAATAAATAATTATTACAATATTGATTTTTTTCTTCTCTCGCTGGCTTCCCAAGGGTTCAACGAATCTCTGGAAGAATTAACGATTCAAAAAAAGAAATTTCGTACGTATGGTAGCGGTTCAAAGTTTGCCGACTTTTGCGGACCCTGAAAATCGGGGGGTTTTTCGGCTTCTCACAACGATTATAAATAAAGTAATCAAATTAAAAACTTGAAACTTCGTATTGGGCGAGTGAAATACTTATATTACACAGCGCAATTGGTCCCATATTTTTACGATTTTTTTTCGTCGAGTTATAGACGTTTATTTCGAGTGGTCTCTACTTTTGACACCGACAGTAGAGACGACGAATATTTAAAAGGGATAAAATTCTGACGTAATTGAACATTAATTCAGCATTAATTAAATTGAAGGGTCAGATAACATCCTTTGAATAATAAAGGATTTATAGCCATGAGAATATGAATTGTAGAACATGTAAAATCATCAGTAGATCAAGAATTTTTTTGATTCAAGAATCCCAAAGTTTTGAATTCCACAATCAGTTTTCCTGAATGAGAAAAAATATGTCTTACTTTTTGTACAATTATCCTAGACTTAAGTAGAAATTACTGAGGATTAGTACTTTTTCTTCTGATCTTTAGAGAAAACTTTTTTGAAATAATTGAAAATTTATGAGCATAGCCTGAAAATCCTGAAATGCGTAGATTTTACTCGAAACTAGAAACTTTTTCCTCTGTGTAGTAGTATGTATGTATTGTATAGTATTCCAAATTCCAAGTGGGGACTGGAATTTAATTCAATAATCTTGCATATCAATAGTTATGTTTGTCATATTTTCAAATGTTTTTAGGTTACTATCGGGTCATTGACAATTCATTTCCCACTGAATATTTCTAGGTTTTTAAAGAAGTGCTCCGCTTGAAGAATAATCATTCCTGAATAATAATATTCAACAATTGTACTTTTTCAGTCAGCGAAGAAAGGAGTCGTTAAGAAAAGTATATTTGCAACACCTGAAAACGTTAATGGTAGAGTAGGAATTGGCACTTGTGGTGTTAGTGGTAAAGAAATGACCAAGTTTAGCAATGGTGAAAAATGGAGACGTGGCACCTAAGGATCTCATTCATCCTTATTGTACATAAATGCATAAGATAAATCCAAATGTTGATTTAAGGATAAATAATATTAAGAAGTATATCGATATTACCGTATCCTTGATATAATATCAGTGCAAATTTGCATTAATCAACCAATTGTTATTATAGGGTTTCGCACTCGGCAGAAGGAAGTATATGTCTTTCAACTACCTTTCTCTTCCTTTTTTAAAATTATAATCATAATTGATTTCGTGGAGGAGTCGGCACATAAGAATTTGAGGTTTTTGGAAATTATTGAATTATTTGAGTAGCTGATGATGTGAGGAAACCTTTTTTGTAGAGGAATTTTATAAGCTACGAAGACTTCCTCTGCACTAACTTGACGTGTTCTTGACTTTTTCTCTGCAGAATATTCATTACTGAAATCGTTCCATAATTGGATGGAGAACAATATCCTCCCTTCTGGAAAGAACATCGCCCTTCAGTTTTTAATAAATATCCCTGAAATTAAGGGCGGTGGAGAAATTTTCATGAAGATATTCTCTGTAAAGAAAATCAATAGCTAAAAGGAAGTTCGAACGAAAATTTATCCACCTTCCTTGGAATCAACGATATTTATAGAAAGCTTATTTGAGAGTTGAAGTTGACTTCTCTTTTGTTACTACTTCCTCGCCGGAGACAATTCTTATTTTTTTTTGTAATTATTATCATCGTGTTCGATTGTTTGGAACTGTGAAAAACCCCGTTGGTGAAAATGTATGGTAGAATTGAGAAATTTTGTATTAAAAAATGAAAACATGAAATAGAGAAATAATTTTTTTCTAGGAGAAATGGACGTATGTTTGAGTGACTGCAGATTCTTTAGATTAGACGAATCACTTTCTTGATCGCTGAAAGATTCATTTGTAAGTGGTGATTTATCAGGTCAAATAAATGTCTATTTTCGTGAGAAGGCCCGGTAAACCGCGATTCTAACCTCGCTTCGCTCGGTTAGATCGCGGTTTACGGGCCTTCTGACGAAAAATTGCATTCATCACACGGTCCAAAAGTATTTTCTGACGAATGTGATTATAGAATGTGATTACGAATGTGTTCGGCTCGGCCTACAAAGCCACATTCGTCAGAAAATACTTTGTGGACCTTGTGATGAAAATAACTATTTAAGGCCGAAAGCATAACTTCTATCCCTATTCTCATCTTTTATTACAAAATTGGAAGAATAATTTCTTTCACTATTTTTATAACGGTGAAAAGATCGCGTGATTCATAAAAAATCGATTGACATTTTCTCTTAGGCCCGGTTGCACCACCCCCTGTTAAAGTTACCAGCCAGTAAACCTCTGGTAAATCTTTGATAAATTTTATTCGGATGTTACTGGAGGTTTATCGAGAGTCTACTTAACAGAGATTTATCCCCCCGGTAAATGTCTGTTACGTAATCCTCAATTAGTTTGCAATGATTTCATTTTTTGAACTTTGAAATGTTTGAGTTTTTGAGTTCGATTTTTCATTTTAAACTTTTAGGAAACATTTAAAAAATCCGAAAAAAATTGGAATGTCTGCTTTTGGAACAGAATTGATACAATAATTAGAAAATTGCAATATTTGAAAATTAGGGGAGAGTGGGGCGAAGTGAAACGACCCGGCAAAGTAAAGCGAGGGGTAGAATGAAACGCGGAGGAAAGTGAAACGGTAGCGAATTTCATTCTTAAGGGTCAAATAGTTTTGAGTGTCAAATGAGAGAGTGATCAAGAGGATCGAAAGTTCTTAAAGGTCAAGTGGGAGAGACAAGTACAGTAATCAGAAGAGTCGAATAGGAGAGAAAGGGGCAGAGATTACTCTACTTGTTTCTGCCATAAGACCCTGAAAAAGTTGCAGCCATCTGATTTCTTCCACTGTTTCTCAAAACTGTTCGCCCCTTCGTAATTTTTTTTGGTAACGGGATAGAGGGGCAAAAGGGACCGTGTGGGTAAGGGGACCGTTTCATTTAAGGGGAGGATTATATATCTTGAAAAACGAAAAATCAGTGCAAAAAAAGATTGTTTATTGTATGTTTGCCCCCCAGGCGCTTGAAATCTAAAAAAATAGTCCAGTGGACTCAATTTCAGAGCTACGAGGGTCTTATTTTTCTCAAATTTTTTAAAAATATGTATAGAACAATAATTACGAGGTACTTGTTTCAAACTCAACTCCTAAATAGTCAATTCCGTGACTTTTTTCATTTAAAAAATCAATATTCCTGTAAAATAGCCAGGAAAATAATCCTGAAAATAATTATAGTATCTTGGATGTGAGGAAAAAATTTAGAAGTATTCATTCTCCGGGCTGTTTTGCTTGAATATTGCAATTTTTTATTCGGAAAAGAATGAAATTGGTTATTTAGAAGTCGAATTTCGAAAAAGTACCTCGTAATTGTCATTCTACAGATCTTTTGAAAAATTTTGAAAACTATAGATTCTGAGATTTTCAATCATCAAGTTTGTCTATTGAAGTAGCTCCACCCTCACGATAAATTTGAAAATCATTAAAAACTGCAAGGAATTCCCAGAAAATTCGATTTGGAAGCGTATTTTTTTCTCAATTTAATGGTCGTTTGGATTTTTTAGTGGAAAAATGGTGGAAAATCAGGATTTAAACCAGTGCGGGGCTGTTCATTTATTACGAAAGACATTCAGAGGGGAGTCCTAGGATTTCTGAGTTCATTATTTAGGGGGAGGGGAGGAGAGTGAAAATTTCATATAAATACGGGAAAAAGTCACGTGTTACCAAATAAAATCTCCAGTGCTGGAATTTTTCCCTGGCCGTCACTATGAGCCCTTTTTCCAGTGCCAGCACTAGAATTTTTCTAGAGAATTTCTCTCTGTGCAAAATTCGAAATGGAGGCAAATCCATTACGATTACGAATAAATGATTTTTAGGGTGAAAAATTGATTGTTTCTGAAGGATTTATGGAAAACGATAAAAATATGAATTTGTTAATTATTTCATAAATTTTTCACACAAAACAGTGTAACAAAACGGTTATAGATCCCGTCAAAGAGTGAAACAATTAGAAGGTTCAAACGGGAAAGATTTTCTTACTTCACCCTCTTGTATGGCCCTTGTGATCCTTTCAGGCGACTCTAACGTTTGACCCATATAACTATTTGATTCTACCCGTCCGTTCGACCCTTGTAAAATAAGAGCTTTGGACTCTGGTAAACTGGGTGACCCTGATAACCCATTTTACCCCTCTCCTCCCCCTAGTTGATGATACGAAAAAAAAAAACAAATCACCTGAATTGCGCTATACATTCGGTTTTTGCTATCGTTCCATTTTGCCCGACGTTTCACTTTACCCTGGGTCCCCTACGACCATTTTTTATGGATAATAATTATTATATAATATAGCCGACTGTAATGTTTAGGTGGGTGAGGTGTTGCTCCGGCGGACATCCAAGCTAAGCAGCGTTGAGCTGGGTTAGTACTTGGATGGGTGACCGCTTAGGAACACCTCGCTCGCGCAGAAATTGCGGGTGGTAGGTACGGTGTAGCGGCCTAGTGTCTCCATCTAGTCAGTGTGACAGATGGATATATTAGGGCACTGCACAATCGGCCGGTTGTGCGACTGGGGTTTTACATGGTTTCCCGTGCAGTCCTAGCTCAAATGGGGCACAGCTAAGAGTAAGACGGCCATGATACCGCAGAAAAAAATGAGAGGAAAAGAAAGGAGGGGAGGTAGGCTAGAGGAGGGGTTTCAAATCGAGAATTATTCCGATAAAACCAATGAAATAGAAAAAATACAAAAAATATTATGTCATATAATTCATTCATTCATAAAAAATCAATTTGCCGGCCTGAAAATACTTTTTTCGAAATCGTAGTAAATTTATAAATTTTCAGAATTTTACTAGAAATCATTTTCATGCACGGAGAGAAATGTTCAGTAAAAATTACGGAACTCGAAGTTCGCTCACCGATGACGGAATCGACTCAGAAAATTTAAGTGATGGTATCGTAATTTTTTACAGGAAATTCAGATAGAAATTACGGAACGCTCTGGAAAAATTCCGTGACAGTTCCGTAAAATTTCCTACAATCACATTTTGCTCCGGAATTACGGAAAAGATATATAATTTTTATTGAATATTTCTCTCCGTGTGCACAAAAAATAAGGTTCCCAAAAGTTTAAACAATTTCAATTACTTATGAGAAGGAAATGTTAATAAAAAAATTCTTTGTAAAATGGAATTTGAATGAAGCTCGATATCCATGAATTTTTTCCAATTTATCGCATAAGAATCTGAGATAAAATCAGAAAGTCTACTTCTGAAGAAAAATCCATAACATAATTCAAAAGATACGATTTTTGAAGATTAAGATCATTTTTCATGAAAAATTTATTCAAAATATGAGTGTTCCACCCTGCAACGGTTTTTTTGGAAATTCTAACAAATTTATTAACATTCAGAATTTCACCAGCAATCGATTTCATGCCTAAAAATAAGGTTTCCGAAAACATAAACAATTTTAATTATTTATTTGCAAGAATTATTATTATTTTTTTTTTTAAAGAATGTTTGAAAGGATAATAATTATTTACAAAATTTAATTGAAATAAAACTGAATATCTATGATTTTTTTTAAATTTTCACACGAAATTTAATTGAAAAATTTAATCATTGAAAATGTCTGAATGTATAATATGATCCGTATCAAACTGTAACAAGTACTTTGGGGGGGGGGGGGGGGTGGAGTAATATGGACACCACTTTTAAATAATGAACTGAATTGAATCAAATCTATTCTGACTTCCTTTTGAGGTTAGAAAAATAAACATGTTGTTTTGAGACTCTGTCCTGAGACTGGTAAGGTAAGACAAAAACGGGGTAAAATGGACACTTGGATGTTTTTCCTAATTTTTTGTTTCAATAATATTATTCAATTGATGAATTCATTGATCGAATAATTCATAATTCGATATTTTTTGTCTATTCAATCATTCGCACGGTTGCCCTCGAACCCTCTACTGCGCCTGCGTGGCAGCATAGGACAACACTAGTCATGACAGGGATTTTCAAATTTGAAAGAATCTAATTTTTGACTTTCGGCGCGGGGGGGAGGGGTGAAGTAAACCAAATTTTTCTTTGGTCATTCCCCCTCCCCTCATTGTTTTATGCTGATTTCCTTTGTGAGTGGAAAATCAGCCATCTTAGAAATTTAGCAAAAGGACAAAAGGTCCGTTGTGTAGGGTGTACAATTGTACATTGATTTTGAGAAGGCGATAAGTTATCAGAAAATGAGGAATTTTAAAAGCAAGACAGAGCGTCAAAACTGGGATCCACTTCAAATGGCTAAAGCGATAGAAGCTGTGGAAATCCACAAGTCACCACTGTTGACAGCAGCTAATGATTACAACGTATCGAGGAACACTCTACGTCGTCGAATTGAGTTGTACAGACAATGTCCTGATATGGATATGGTTCTCATCAAAGGTAAGAGACTATCAAGATGAAAAAACTGTCACTTTCATGTAATTTCCACTGCATGTGTGTATACGAAAGGGGTATAAGGTCACAAATTACAATAGAAGAAAGTAACACTGAGTAGATGATCGAACGAAGGAAGACCTCGATACTCAGAAGAATAAAAGAAAAACAAAATGAGGAATGGTGAAGAAGAATCGTTGCTTATTACTCTTCGATTCACTTATAGCTTCAATCAATTTTCACGTTAATGATTGCGGTTTATGACTATCAAAAATGGATTTATTTCATTTTATTTTTGTCGTCGTTAGTTTTAATACTCCGAGACTTTCAAAATTACTGTAATTATGATTTTCCAATGGTTCTGTTGTGTAGCAATGAGAAGGAGACGTTTTGCAGATAAAGACACGTTGTGCACTCCTGATTTTTCAATCAGGGAAACTTTACTCCAGCCATTCCCAACAAACTCATTGAGAAATTCGATAATTTTAAAGCTTTCACGATGAATACTCAAAAAATGACTCCACCACAACAAAAAAACCCAATATCTCCTCTCTAGTATCACCCTACTAACTGAAACAATTCTTGCTAAATCTAGGGATGGGAAGTCGTACAACTGTTTTCTCTGCCATTCAGGAAGTGGAATTGGCAGTTTATTTACAAGAGAAGGCGGAATGCCTAGCCGGACTCACCACTTGCGAAGTACGTCTGCTCGCTTATCAAATTGCAGAGAAAAATGGAATCCAGCACCCCTTCATCAATGGCATTGCTGGAGAAGATTTTCTGAGGCTTTCTCCAAAGAAATGGTACATTATCAATAAGGAAACCTCAGGCAACGTCGATTGCACGAGCTGTGTGCTTCAATAAGGTCCTTGTTGGGAACTATTTCGATTTGCTGTATCAATAACTTACCCTTGGAATGGGGGCAGCAGGCATAGAAAAGTTATTTCCCCCTTCACGTATCTTTAATGTGGATGAGACTGGATTCACCGTGAATCCGACACAATTATCAAAAATTGTTGCAAAAAATGGGAAAAAACAAGTGGGTAAAGCAGTGTCCAGTGACCGAGGGAAGCTGGTCACCGTGGAGCTACGCATGTCAGCAGATGGAAAATGTTTGCCGTCAGCGTTTGTGTTTCCTAGAGTAAACATGAATTCCCAATTCTTAATTGGAGGATTGAAAGGTACCTGGAGAATGGCCAATCAGAGTGGGTGGATGACTGCTGATTTATTCCTCCAATGGTTTAAGTGGTTTGTGAAAACAGTCAAACCAACGGCTGAAAGCCCTGCACTTCTCCTCATGGATGGTCATGCCAGTCATTCCCAAAATTTAGAAATGATCCAATTCGCACGCAGCAACCATGTAGTCCTGCTATGTTTCCCACCTCATTGTACCCATCGCCTTCAGCCCCTCGATGTTGGTGTCATGAAATCTCTGTCAGCATATTACGCTCAGGAAATTAACCGCTGGATGAGGCAAAATCCAGGACGAGTAATGACAGAGTACTCCATCTGTTCGTTGATTGGATCAGCTCTCCAACGTGCAGCAACCCCATCGACCATTTCAAATGCATTCAGAAAGACTGGAATCTATCCGTACAACAGGAAAGTATTCAGCGACGCTGACTTCCGCGCAGCAGAAATGACTGATCGTCCACTATCAGAAACTCCATCCCCCCCATCTTGAAGGTGATGAACCAGGGAACTCACCACCTTCCAATGATCCAAATGAGGAGAGGGGTGAAGATGAGGCGGACTTGAACTCATCGACTTCTATACCCCAGCACAAGGAAGATTCATCTCCGACCAATTCAGAATCGGGCCATTCTGTGGAAGACGGTATTAGAACTGATGAGACACTAATGCCGGGACCATCACATGCTAATGTTGAAGAGTTACCACCTACAAGACCTATGCGAAAGGTACACTTGGAGCATCATGTAATCAATCAGGGAGGGGCAAGTTCAGAGAGTGAATCAGAGGATGGCGATACAGGCTCGCAACAGACTCCACTAAACTCAGAATTTAAAGGAAAATTGATTAAGAAGAAGGTGGGACAGAATCGTCCCTTTCAAGTTACACCATCAGCACTGGAGCCTGTTCCTGTTGCTCGAGATCAATCGACACGCAAGAGACGTACTAGGGGGAAGAACGCGGTTCTTACAGGCGAGGAATATCTGTCTGCGTTGGAGGCTAAGAAGAAAGGAGCGAATGAGATAGAGGAGAACAAGAAGAAGTGTCAATCTAAGAAAAATCAGAAGAGCAAAGGAAAAAGCGCGAGAACAAAATCCAGTCTGCCTCAGAAGAAGCAAAAGAAGGTTCTAGAAGTTGAAGATGAGCGAAGGCCTATTGCGAAGGCCTCGGCTCCGAGTCAACCGATCGGTGGATCGAGTGTGAGAAATGCCACAATTGGTGTCTTACTTCATGTGCTGACATTTCATCAAATGACGAGGACCCCGACTTCATCTGCGACTTCATCATCTTCAATCATTCAAACTTTAATTTAAAATTCAAAAAAGTTGACGAAGTTTACTTATTAATTTTGTTTTCCAACTACTCTCTCTGTCTCTCTCTCTCTATAAAGAAATATCCACACGATTATGTTGTCAAATGCTAAGGGATATTTCCCTTAATTTTGTCCTCAAAAAATACAAATCTACGAAAGCTTTTGAGAAAGTTTCTTCAAGACATCTATTTCATCAGAAATTTTCTTGGCTTTTGAATAGAACTAAATTTTTCGGGTGTTCATCTTGCCAAGAAGCAGTTCAAGGAAAATTTTTGAGGATGCATTTTACCTCACCCATATACAGATTTATCAGGTGCTCATTTCGCCTCACAGCAGTTTTCCAAAGTTTGAATTGTGAAAAAAAAAAATTCCATAAATTTCTTGAGTGTCCATTTCTTCCACCCATATACAAATTCATCAAGTGTCAATTTTGCCCCGAAATAGCTTTCAAAAATTTGAAATTTTGAAAAAAAATCGGAAATTTTCAAGTGTCCATTTTACCCCACTCATATAGCCATTGATCAAGTGTCCATTTTGCCCCGTAACAATTTTCCAAAATTTGAATTTTGAAAAAAAAATAATGAAAATTAACAAGTGTCCATTTTACCCCACTTATATAGCTATTGATCAAGTGTCCATTTTGCCCCGTAACAGTTTTCAAAAATGTGAATTTTGAAAAAAAAAAAAAAAGGAATTTCCAAGTGTCCATTTTACCCCACTCAAATACGAATTCGACGGGTGTCCATTTTACCCCATGTGTCCATATTACCCCACGCTCCCCTAAATATATCTTCAAATTTACTGGGTGGTATACTGGGGAGATACTGGACCAATAAAATTTTTGGTGCAACCCAATAAATTTACTGAACAAATAAATTTTAACAGTCTGTTAGTCTAACAGGCTGTTAAATTCGCCTAACAGGGGTTGGTGCAACCGGGCCTAGAAACGCAGTTTGATTCCTCCCATGAGTAATTGCTTTTTAAAAATCCATTCATTATTCCGTCCTTTTCTTTCCTTTCCTACGAATAAAAAAATCATTACCCACTAGTCTATCCCCTTTTCAATCATTTCTCAAACCCTGGATACTCCTATTCGTGTATATTCGGCGGTGATGATTTCCCACTCCTCCCACTTATCCTCATAATAACAGTAAAAAAATGCACAGCGACGTATATATTAGGCTATGGCAGCCACACATATTTACATGCATACAAAACGTCACTCGTTTCAACTAACCTTATACATAGACATTATACCTTATAACATATATGTATATATACTCGTGAATAGAGATATCACGTATTGATGATATCGAAGTGCTAATCATATCATCGAACGATGATAAACCTTACAATTTACTATTTCAATTGTAAAAACCCAATGGACCATCCCTTCGATGGTTTTCTAACCTAAAATTAAACAAATTTTATGTTTATGAAACGATTTTCATGGTTTATTTATGGTAGTTAGTGGGTAAGAAGCCTTGTTTCATAATCAATTTTTAATTTTTCCGATTAAATCAATAAATAGGAATAAATCCAGTTTAAGTTTGAGTGAATTTAAGTGTCAGCCGGATGATTAAGTGAAGAACCCACGAAATTTTTCAGACGATAGCAATTTTTCAAGTATATATGGGATCTCACTAATAATCATTTGCTTGAATAGTGAATATTCAGTGATAATGGAGGGAAATCAGAGGAATAGGAGTAATAATGGAGATGTTGGAGAGCGTGGGGTTGATTGGACCAGGTATGGACTGGGGAATCATGACAATCCAAGGCTTTCTGAAAGGGACAACTCGACTTACGATGGTTTCAGCACAGATATCCATCCTGCTGGGGCTAATGAGCTGTACGCACAAGAATATGTGAGTTCAGTATTTCTTTTGCTTCCGCATGGAAGCTTTGTAATCGTTGATTTTAAAGATCTAATTTTACCTGAAAATGATGTAGGTAGAATGTCATAAAATGTGAAGATATGATGTTTTTAGAAACTGTGTGTATGTATGGCCGGATGTGTATGCGAATTTTTCGGAAAATTTTTATAAATCTTCACCGAAAAAGGACTAAAGTTGAAGCTAAAAATCAGAAATTTCGTCACATAATGGTATTACTTTGTAGCATTTCAAGCCGTAATTTCAACTCAATCAGTCAAGTATTTTCCGAGATACAGGAATTCCTCAAAAATTTTATTTCCTCAACATCTCAAAAACTACGTGACTGAAGTGAATTTTTTTGATATTATCTGCGATAATATCTATCAAATTAAATCGTAATATTGCCATGTAACTAAGGACAGTTCGGTAATAATCGCCATTTTGCGTTTTTATGACGAAATCGGTGAGTGCACGATAACTTCCCAAAAAATTGAGATAGGATGTTTAAATTTGGTGAGATTGCAGCCCTTACCATATCGCAGGATGGGATTGTGGGGCAGCGAAATCGGACGAGTGGTTTAGAAGATATTTAACTTTTTCTGAAAAACTGTTTTGCTTAATATCTCACAATCTACTAGTCCGATTAATTTTTTGAAAGTGTCCATCCACACGCTCCACGGTAATTTTTACCGTGGATATACAGGAGTTTTTCCCGTGGATATATGGTAGTTTTACCGCGGGTAGGGGAGGGTGTGGTAAAACGAACACTTCAGACTTTTTTTTAAATATTCATAACTCAGAAACGAATTGACCAATTGAGCTCAGTTTAGGCCAGTCACAAACCCTGGCAACTTAGTATCCTCGCTGTTACGAGGATGTAGCGAGGATGTTATTTTAATGTGAAAAAGGCCGAAAATGATATAAATGGGATTCGAAAATAGTTAAAAAGTTGAAAGATCATCGATTTGTTTCAATTAATACAGTTTATTGCGTTATTTTCTAATAATTAGCAGAATGAGGCTGAAGCTGGCGGGAGCAGTTCAGCGGGAGATGGGTATAGTTTGTGAGGCGGACTGTACGGCCCCCACCGTAGCCGCTCGCTCAACGCTACATCGGTAGCCACGAGTTTAAACCTCCTCCCAGACAAATTAAATGATAAAAAACAATCGAACATTTTTTTTTATTATTATTATTTCTTAATGTATGACGACGGTGGGGAATGATTTCTCGAGGAGGAATTTCATGATATTTTTTTTATTTTTATAAGTTTTTACGCGGTCAATAGGGGTGCAATAAACGCATACACCAATCGATGTCATTTTATTTTTAATGTGTCCCTAAGGGGTTAGGGGACCCTGTCCAACAAAAATTATCGCGGTGCACCTATTAGGGTATTTTTAATTAATTTTTTAAGATTCATTTCTCCCAACTTCCGGTGAACAAAATGGTGATGCACGAACACGCATGCACCAACCAACCCCATTCCATTTGGAATATGTAGCTAGGGGGTTGGGGGACCCTCCCCAACAAAAATTATCACGGTGCGCTAATTAGGGGATTTTTAATTAATTTTTAAAGATTCATTTTGTGTAACTTCCGGTGAATGGGGTGGGGGTGCACGGACACGCATGCACCAACCGACTTCATTCCCCTTGGAATATGTTACTGAGGGGTTGGGGGACCTTCCCTAACAAAAATTGTGACGGTGCGCCAATTACGGGATTTTTAATAAATTTTTCAAGATTCATTTTGTGTAACTTCCGGTGAATGCGGTGGGGGTGCACGGACACGCATGCACCAACCGACTTCATTCCCCTTGGAATATGTTACTGAGGGGTTGGGGGACCTTCCCTAACAAAAATTGTGACGGTGCGCCAATTACGGGATTTTTAATAAATTTTTCAAGATTCATTTTGTGTAACTTCCGGTGAATGCGGTGGGGGTGCACGGACACGCATGCACCAACCGACTTCATTCCCCTTGGAATATGTTACTGAGGGGTTGGGGGACCTTCCCTAACAAAAATTGTGACGGTGCGCCAATTACGGGATTTTTAATAAATTTTTCAAGATTCATTTTGTGTAACTTCCGGTGAATGCGGTGGGGGTGCACGGACACGCATGCATCAACCGACTCCATTCCACTTGGAATATATGCCTAGGGGGTTGGGGGACCCTCCCCAATGAAAATTATCGCGGTGCACCTATTAGGGTATTTTTAATTAATTTTTTAAGATTCATTTCTCCCAACTTCCGGTGAACAAAATGGTGGTGCACGGACACGCATGCACCAACCGACTCCATTCCGCTTGGAATATGTTACTTAGGGGTTGTGGGACCCTCTGCAACAAAAATTGTGACGGTGCACTAATTAGGGTATTTTTAATAAATTTCTAAAGATTCATTTTGTGTAACTTCCGGTGAATGCGGTGGGGGTGTACGGACACGCATGCACCAACCGACTCCATTCCACTTGGAATATGTGCCTCGGGAGTTGGGGGACTCTCCCCAACAAAAATAATCGCGGTGCACCAATTTGGGGATTTTTAATTAATTTTTCAAGGTTCATTTTGAGTAACATCCGGTGAATGCGGTGGAGGTGCATGGACACACATGCACCAACCGACTCCATTCCGCTTGGAATATGTTACTGAGGGGTTGGGGGACCCTCCACAACAAAAATTGTGACGGTGCACTAATTAGGGTATTTTTAATTAATTTTTTAAGATTCATTTCTCCCAACTTCCGGTGAACAAAATGGTGGTGCACGGACACGCATGCACCAACCGACTCCATTCCGCTTGGAATATGTTACTGAGGGGTTGGGGGATCCTCTCTACCAAAAATTGTGACGGTGAACTAATTAGTCGATTTTTAATAAATTTATAAGTTTACTTTTCGAATTTGACGAAAAGGTCAGATGGCTTTTATTTTTTTTTTCTTAGACACTTTGCAAGTCTATATCTAAAAAAATATTGAGAAGTTATGGAGACACACTCCGGGAAAATACGCAGAATATCTCAAAGAATCGAGTGGTTTTTGATTCATTAAAAATCCCCTAATTAGTGCACCGCGATAATTTTTGTTGGGGAGAGTCCCCCAACCCCCTAGGCACATATTCCAAACGGAATGGAGTCGGTTGGTACATGCGTGTCCGTGCACCCCCACCGCATTCACCGGAAGTTACACAAAATGAATCTTGAAAAATTTATTAAAAATCCCCTAATTGGCGCACCGTCACAATTTTTGTTAGGGAGGGTCCCCCAACCCCTCAGTAACATATTCCAAGCGGAATGAAGTCGGTTGGTGCATGCGTGTCCGTGCACCACCATTTTGTTCACCGGAAGTTGGGAGAAATGAATCTTAAAAAATTAATTAAAAATACCCTAATTAGTGCACCGTCACAATTTTTGTTGAAGAGGGTCCCTCAACCCTCAGTAACATATTCCAAGCGGAATGGAGTCGGTTGGT